AGTCGAATGGAGCTTTTTCTTCTGATTAAGCTTCATCAACTTTGCGGTAACGGCCGGTGGAGCTTTATTCGAAGTGGAGGTGGTCATTGTGACTGAAGCATCATGTGTAATCCCACTCCAGGATGACATTGGTTGGTATGATGCTCAAAAGAGTGAACGTCCCAACGTTGTCGAGGCCGTCAAAAGCTGCGGAGACCACAGAGGTTGTATCGATAGCTCTTAAGTAGGAGTATGATCTCCCAATCTTCAATCAAAACCATCTTCCAATTTTAGTGAAGGATTGAGCGACACTATAAGTTCAGCGGGCTTTGTGCGAACAGTACTGTTTTCCCTACATGGGAACATTTTCAGTCTAATCCATCAGGAGGGTGCTCTACGGGGATATCCCGCCAACTCGGAGGTCTTGATTCTGACATGATAAGCAAGTCTTCAAGCTCTACTAAAGGCCGAGTGCTTACTACTTGGTACATTGATTTACAGTTCGGCCAAAAGGCTATAAGAACTGAAGACTCATGAGTTAATCTCTTGAACCGACATATGCCTTGAAAGAGGGAAAGCTTTTAAAAAAGTTTGTTCTCGAGAATACGAAGGGTAGATCTGAAGGATTAGGTATGGAACTCACTCTGACTACCTGCACCCCTTTTCCTTCAGATTTTGGGCTACATTCATTCGATGTATATGATGGTTTTCTTCCTACACTGAAGAACCTAACTGTAGACGCAATCCCCAATCAGATTCAACCTGACAGCTCTATGTTCAAGATTGCCTCTCTGCTGGTCGACTCCGAAGATGGTCAGCCTGTACTTTAGTATCCTTTGGCCCCGACAATCTATATGGTAAAGCTAGACAAATTAATTTTTGCCCAAGACCCAAAAGAGGTACCACTGGATCTAGAGACCTTTATGGATCTCCTGGTCCTCTTCTCTGATGATTTGAATTTGAAAATGACTATATTAAGTCTGACCTCAGTACCTGCAAAACTAACCTTCCCGGTACCTTGCCTACATTAGAATTCACCCTTCAACGTAGCATGGTCAGTTTGGGTGTTGTAGGATGCTAGCCAGTTAGCGGTTAGACCCTTATCGTTGTGGAGAAAAATTGGGCTATTCGGGGGAGCCGGAGTGGGTAAAAAGGTACTCATCATGGAATTGATCAATAACATTGTCAAAGCCCATGGAGGTGTATCTGTATCTGGCGGAGTACGAGAACGTAGGGAAATGATCTTTACATGGAAATGAAAGAATCCGGAGTAATTAATGAACAAAATATTGCAGAATCAAAAGTCGCTCTAGTCTATGGTCAGATGAATGAACCGCCAAGAGCTCGTATGAGAGTTGGTTTAACTACCCTAACAATGGCGGAATATTTTCGTGATGTTAATGTATTTCTATTTATTGACAATATCTCTCGCTTCGTTCAAGCAGGATCAAAAGTCTCTGCCTTGTTAGGCAGAATGCCTTCTGCCGTGGGTTATCAACCTACCCTTAATACAGAAATGGGTTCTTTGCAAGAAATAATTACTTCTACTAAAGAACGATCCATAACTTCTAGTCAAGCAGTTTATGTACCTGCAGACGATTTGACTGACCCTACTCCTGCCGCGACATTTGCACATTTAGATGGTACTACTGTACTATCAAGAGGATTAGCTGCCAAAGGTATATATTCAGCAGTAGATCATTTAGATTTCAACGTCAACTATGCTCCAACCTCGGATCGTTGGTGAGGAACATTACGAAATTGCACAAAGAGTTAAGCAAACTTTACAACGTTGCAGAGAACTTCAAGACATTATAACTATTCTTGGACCAGATGAATTATCCGAAGAGGATCATTTAATTGTAGCAAGAGTACGAAAAATTGAGCGTTTCGTACCTTCTTCATAGCAGAGGTATTTACTGGTTCTCCACGAAAATATGTTAGGGAGTTGAAATTTATCCTTTCCGGAGAATTAGATGGTCTTCCCGAACAAGCTTTTTATCTGGTAGGTAACATCGATGAAGCTACGCGAAAGCTATTAACTTAGAAGTAGACAGAAAATTAAAGAAATTACCCTAAATCTTTGTATACTGACTCCTAATAGAATCATTTGGGATTCAGAAGTGAAAGAAATTCTTTTATCCACTAATAGTGGCCAAATTGGTGTATTATCAAACCACACACTTATTGCAACAGCTGTAGATATAGGTATTCCAAAAAGATGCCTAAGCAACTATGAATGGTGTCGATTTCCTTGGGTGCAGGACGAAGTCACCGTTCCTTCAGAAATAAAGTAGTAGTAGTAGGGTAAATTTTCCTATAATATAATAGAGCCAAAGCCATTGCTCGGGCTGCTTCAAAGGTAAAGATATTAGCTGACCGGCTTACCGACGGACTGGAACTCCACATATATCTCAAAAGACCAAAAGATAAATCCAAGAGTCCTAATCTTTTTGGATTTCTATTTCCTTCATGAAACTTCTCAATCCCACAAAATAGGGGAATATCTCAATCCCACCGAGAATATCTCAATCAATCCCACAAAATATGGAAATATCTTTATGCTGGTGATTTTTCAAGCTCACCTAAGGCTCACCTCAAAAATTCGTTAGAAAAAGTTATTTCAACACTGAAAACCCTCAACTCTCTATCTCGACCTCAATATATATGGACATGAAAAAAAATAGATCTCAAGTCTTGGAAATAATGCATTTTGTAATGCATTATCATACCATCAATTTTTGAGATTTCTAAGTGCTCATATATTTGCTCGATCTACATTATTTTTTAACTTTAAATTTTCTAATTAGAGATGAAAATAAATTTTTAGGCCATCATAAAGATTTCTGATACTGAAATATTATTTGAAGGTGCGCCCTACTTTAATTGTTTAGGGCCACGACCTCATACAAACCACACCCTTAAACAAACCCTGCACACATAAAAGCAATGAATAGAGCTTATCTAGTCATGCCTCCTGCCATGGACGGTGGCATGGTGGTCACCCCTCGAGTCTGCTGCTCCATGTTTCCAATCCAACCTTCACATTTATATCAAAACCATGAAAGCTCGGTTAATACTCATATCCCATCCTTATCAAGTAAAAAGTGAGAGAAGAGAAAATTACATAGTAATTATTGAAGTATGTACATTTCATTTTAAGAAAAACTAAGAAAAAAAGAAATTGAGAAGATTAGATTTTTTGCTCCACAATTAGATACATAGTCCAAAGTCCAAATATGAGTATGCATGTGTATAGGATCACATCCATGGAGAGGGGGGAGGGGAAAGTATACTTAAACGGATTGTATACTATAAGACTATTTACTTTTTGTACAAGGAAGTCACAATCACCATTAGTTATTGGATAAGAAATTTGATGGATTGAAGTATGTTATAAAATAAATTAGAGATATTGTATTGTAAATTCTATGCCTAGTCAATGACACATCCCCAACCACCCTATTTCCAATCTAACTGTCAACAATAATTATGACCTCTTTATACTAAAAGTAAATAGTCATATTATACAATGTCCATAAACACACACTTACACACAAACTATTGATATCATATGAGCCTTGGGGCCTATGGAATGATTGTGAGTCCAAGTGTCCTTGCCGAGATAGAACCATCAAACACTCAACATTCATTGACAGGGGTGGGCGCATTTTGGATATAATTGGTTGAACATACTATTTGTTTATATTTTTCCTTTTGTAAAAGTATAGGTCAAACATTTTACCAAAATTTTAGGTATAAAGGATTTGTATATATAAAAAAACAATTGGTAATCTGCATGTTTCTGGTATCAGAGCCCATAGGTTCACTCCTGTTGGCCCCCTCTCTTACTGCAATAAAGCGTGGTGGAAAAGAGGTTTTACATTTGGCAATGAGGTAATCACTCAATTTGGTTTACATGATGACAGTAAGCCAAACAAGTTCATTATTTCCGTAATAGTGCATAAAAGAGGAAATCACTATTCCTTCAGATATCTCCAATTAGATAGCTCTCTTAAGGTAAAAGATTTTGATGATACTACTTTGAGAAATCTCGAATGGAAAGGTGCTCTTTCTCTCATATATGAAATTGTTCAATGAAGGATATTCCTTGACTTCAAAAGAAAAGATGTATATTATAAATAAGTATATATCAGAGACGAAGGACTATTTGCTTATTGATACTGTCCAATTTTTAAAACTATTTGAAAAAATTTACCCCCTGAAGATATAAAGAGTGTTAAAAGTCTAGCTGAAAGTTCATCTTCAATAGAAAGAAAGTTCAATGAAGAAGCCTCTTCTTTTAAAAAAACTTCATGCTCAAAGTCATATCGCGAATACCCTCCAGGATTTGAGGAATATACATCAATGACGGAAAAAAAAGGCGAGTTGCTTGAAAAAGAATTTAATCCTCATGTGCCTTTATCTCAAAATAGTGAGGAAACCCCTGATCCTTAATGGCTAAATAGCTCTTTAGAAGAAGATCCTGAGCAAAACAAATTTCCTAAATAATTAGACACTTCTAGTTTCATGGAAAAAAATGCTAAGATCAAGATCTTCCTAGCCTCTTCATCAGAATCTCAAAAAATGACATCGAAAAATCGAAAATCTCTATCCAATTCAACCTCCTATGTTTTCTTATATTCCTATAGTTTAGAGACAAAAAGTGTATTAGATAATCAAGGAAATGTAAGTTTTCCTCAAATGAGCAAGCAAGATTTGTATAATATTTCTCTGTTTGAGTCTAGATTTTTCAGGTCAATTCGTCAGTATGAAGTCAATCTCCATGTCAAAGGTAAAGGAATTTGTCTTGTATTTTTACCTTTCTTTGAAAAATCAGATATTAAAAGGCAAAAAAATAAAAAATATCAATATGTCTATATTGGACAAATAAATATTCTTATTCATCCACACTTCAATTACGATTTAGGAGCAGAATATTTAGTCTCCCTTTTAGATATCAAATATTTAGAATGAGAGAAAGCATTAGTTTGTCAAATTAAGGGATGTCAAAGGTCAAGAAATCGTAGTTTTCTTCTTTTATTCTTCAAAATTCTGAATATATGGAAGAATGATCTTATATTTTCCAAGGAGTCTACGAGTAACCAGCTCTTCCCTGTAAAAATCTTGTAGCATATTTGACGGAATCTATGTTTAACCATCTTCTTATGCTATTGACATACATTCATCTGTGTACCCAAATAATGATATCTTGTTTTGCTTTAGAAGGAGAATGAGTTAATTCATCAATATTTAAAATTGAAGTGTCATATTCTGTATTTTTTAGACCATATTGCTCAACATTAGCATTTCTCATTATTTTCAATTGGGAAACTAAAGATGATTCTTTCATATATTCAGAATTTTGAAGAAGAAAAGAAAAAAAGCTAGGATGTTGTTTACTTTTGACATCCCTTAAATTTGACAAACCAAGGCTTTCTCTCATTCTAAATGTCTGATATCTAAAAGGGTGATTAAATATTCTGCTCCTAAATCATAATTTAAGTGTGGATGAACAAAAATATCTATTTGTCCAATATTGACATATTGATATTTCTTATTTTTCTACCTTTCGATATCTAATTTTTTAAATAAAGGTAAAAATACAGGACAAATTCTTTTACCTTTGACATGGAGAATGATTTCATACTGACGAACTGTCTTGGAAAATCTAGACTCAAACAGAGAAAGATTTAAATCTTGCTTGTTAACCACAAGGAAACTGACATTACCTTAATTGTCTAAGACATTTTCTTTCTCTAGAACATAAGAATGCAAAGAAATAAATGAGGTTGAATTGGATAGGGATTTTGGATTTTTTTGTGTCATTTTTTGGGTTTCTGATGAAGAGGCTAAGGAATATCTAGATCTTCGCATTTTTATCTGGGAAACTGGATGGTCTGAGTATTTAGGAAGTTTATTTAGTTGAGGAACTTCTTCTAGAATGCCATTTAGCCATTGAGGATCAAGGATTTCCTCACCATTTTACGATAAAGGCATATGAGGATCAAATTCTCTTTCAAGCAACTCACATTTTTCTTCCATTATTTGTGCATATTTCTCAAATCCTGGAGGGTATTCGGGATATGACTTTGAGCGTGAAGCTTCTTTAGAAGAAGAGGAAGAAGAGGCTTTTTCATTGAACTTTCTTTTTGCAGAAGATGAACTTTCAGTAGGACTTTTAACTCTTTATATCTTCAAGGGGTAATTTTTTTGAAATAGTTTTAAAAATTGGACAGTACCGATTTGCAAAGAGTTATTCATATATGTTATATATTAATCTATAGTATACATATTTTCTTTTGAAGTCAAGAAATATTTTTCCCTACTGAACAATTACATCTATGGAAAAAGGCGCACCTTCCCATTCGAGATTTCCCAAAGTAGTATTATCAAAATATTCTTCCTTAAGAGAGCTATTTAATTGTAGATCTCTGAAAGAATAGTTATTTCCTCTTTTGTGCGCTACAATAGAAACAGTGAACTTATTTGGCTCACTTTCATCAATCACTTTCATCAAATAAATCAAATTGAGCTATTACCTCTTTGCCAAACATGTAAACTACCACTTTTGCAAAATTTCTTTTCCACCACGTTTCATTGCGGTAAGAGAGGGGGTCAACAGAAGCGAACCTATGGGCTCTTATACTTGGAAATTGAATTGGCTATTGTTTTGTAGGTTGAAGTCCTCACAAAAATACTTTTCATGTGTGTATGTTGCCGGTTCTAGACACTAGAGGCGTTTAGCAGCCCCAAGAAATAAAAAAAAACAAGGTAATAGTGTAGAATCGACAATGAAGTGCTTAGATCCAATGCATCCTATAAAGAACTTTTACTGAAACCTAACGTCCCATGGACATATGATTCCTAAATTGGTCCAACTGGTTGATTAAAGGGTGAGGATCGAGATTGTCAAAATAAATTGGAAACTCATAATAATAATAATCCAGGGGAAAAATTTGCTGAGCTCTATCTAAAAGGTAAACTATTTAACATTCATTTATTTATAAAAGGAAAAAGTTTGTATAAAGCTAAGACTCTAAAAAATCCGTAATATAAGTTGACAATTACTAAATGTAGGTCTTGCAACGGGTACGGTAGGGCCAAATATAATTCAAGAAAAATAAAGAAAAAAGAAAAAGGGCCTGGCTGGGCTGGCCCGAAATAGGCCAGCGATGTTGTGGGCCAAACCTGGCTCAGCCCTGCCTTCGAGCCATGTTGGCATGGCCTTAGCTAGGGGTGGCAACGGGTCGACTCAGATCCATGTCCTACCGAACCCGAAAGAATGATATGGGACCTAGATCCAGACCCAATAGGACCCGACCCAAAAATTAAAATATTTATCTAAATATATTACATATATTGGGACCCAAAGAATATTATTGGACTTAGACCTGACCCACAGGGTCGAATTTTTTGACCCATACCCGGATGCGGATCGAGTCTACTCGTGGGGTCTGGGTCCATTGAGACCCCTAGCCCTTGGACCACATCTTGTGGCTGCAGCCCTTGTTTGTTTGGGCCAAACCGGGCCACCGAGCCCATTGCCACCCGTAAGTGAATGGGATGGGTTTAAAACAAAATAATGTTGCATTGAAAATCGATGAGAAATATACAAGAAATGTCTAGGATTTGGATGAGTTCTTACCAATAGACATGTCGAAACCACGAGCTTTGAGTTCTCTGTACTCCTGGCACAAGGCGCATCCTTCACAGAAAAAGTGAACAAGGCAATCGGCACAAGGTGACTTTGAGAGGTTATATTGGCTCCTTAACTTTGAACGGTAGAAGCATGAGTAGCAACATGCGCACCCCACGATCAACAACATGAGCCCATACAAGGAGCCACTCACTCCACATGCTGCACAATTCATTCAAAAATGAAAAAAATATGTATCAATAA